TGTGAAGCAGTAATGGCAGCAATACGGTTACTCAGAGATATATTGATGGTTGGTACAGTGGCTGTTTGCTCTGTCAGTAATTAGCTGTAGCTTTATGATTACTGGAATAACTTTGGACCATATGACACAACTACAGGTTGGTAGATAATAAGTGAAGGTGCCCACACTGTGCCAGCTCTGTGTAAATTACACATATTGGAGTCCGAGTATGCGCCGTATTTTCTGGAATACAGTTTTTGAACTAGCTATTGTGTTTTTTTACCAACAGGGATTTGAACTCACAGATCCAGATCCCAGACCTGTCAATGACTTATCTCACTGAGCTGTTCCTGAAGTTGAACAGAGCACTGCCTGGGTTTGATCCTGTGACCTCTAGACTGTGTTTACTGACTGAGCTATACATGAGGACAGTAGAGTTTAGTTTGTTGTTGCTTTTCTTTACATTTTTGAGGTGAAAACACTCTGGGTTTGATCCCTCCATTTTAGATCATCAGGTATGAGCAGCTCATCTCACTGAGCTGTGACTGAGGGTTGGAATTTGCTGGTTTGTTGTTGTATTTATTCACATTACTGAGGAGAAAACTTTAGAGATCTCAAAACAGGTGATCTTGGATTTGTACCTTCCAATTCAGGTGTGGATGGTCGCAACCAGAAGGTTCTAGTCCCGCTTGGTGCTAGGTTCCTGGAGTCTCCCCCCGCTGCAGAGGGAGAGGAGGGGGCCGTGTCCCCTCCTGGGTTTCCGGAGATCTAAAAGTAGGGGGGTTATGGATGGAAGAACCACGGGTGGCAAACATGTTATTGAACAGTGAAAAGGCCTTTCACAGAAATAACACAATTAGGTGCTGTCACATAACCCCTCTCTTCCTCCCCACCCCCACACTGAAGTCTTCTTTGTAGTCCGCTGATGGTCCCAAATCGCATCCTACAGCTGGCTGGCCCAGGAGGCAGGGGCTGAGAGAGAGAGAGAGAGAGAAAAGAAGAAAAACTTCCTGGAAAACAAAGATAACATAAATCTGGCCACAAAAGATTATATTTATGAAACTGGCAAAAGGAGTCCGGGATGAAGAGACCAAATCAATCAAAAAACAAGCAAAAGAACAATGGTTGGACAATGAATGTTCCTTTCTCAGAAAACGTCTCAGAAATCTGTCAAACAAGAAACACAATGACCCTAAAAACCAAGCCTTATAACATCAATACCACACAAGCCTTAATCAATACCAAAAGAAGGTTAAATACACAGATGATCAATTAATCAAAAAGGCTATAGAGCAAAACTCTTTGGAACCTGTGGAAAAAATTTAATTAATACAGAATGGCAATATTTGGAAAAACTATTTCCCAAATTTATATCAAAATCCTGAAGACTGTGGTTTAAACACACACCAGATGTCCATAATTAACTAATTGAAATCATTAGAAGGCCATAAAAAAAAAGACCAAAATGCTTTGGAGAGTCCAGTTACACTGGAAGAGCTACAAGAAAAACTGTCTTAAAAATGGAAGTGTGGTACTGATAGTATCAGGACAGAAATGTTGAAGCATGGTGGCAATATTAAAATGATTAAATTTAATATTAAAAAGTGGCATATATCCTGAAATTTGAAACAAGGGACTGATTACTCCCATTTTTTAAAACCAGAGACAATCTAAATCCCAATAATTATAGAGGAGGTCTGTGTGAATTCTAGTTTGGGGAAACTATTTTGTAGTATTTTAAATTCAAGAATACTGTCCTAGCTGATTGAAAGCAATATACTAAGTGAATCCCAAATGGGCTGATACCCAAATATAGAACAACAGATCCCATATTTACTCTCCATACTCTAACCCAAAAACATGTACACCAAAAAAATAAAGGAAAACTATATGCTTGTTTTGTTGATTTCAAGAAAACTTTGCTACAGTGTTTAAGCAGTTAGTGCTGTGAATAATGACCTTCATCAACCATATCTGAACAGCAACATCTGATTGTCTCCTCATGTGACTCGGGTGAATTTGGGGCGATTGTTTGATTCTAGTCACCAATTGTACGGACGTTACAACAGGGGGGATTGGGAATACCAAAGTGTGCAAAGGGGGAAACGACAATCTTTGAAAGCATGTTATATATTAGGCTGTATTTATATTTTCTCAAAATGGTTTCTATGTCCTGAAAATGCCAACATTGATTGGGGGAGACAAGCATCCTGTACACTCTGGGATCAACTATTAATGTACAGTATTGTGTATATATACAGTAGCCTATATAGGGTTTTATTCTTCAAATTGACATTAACTTAAGCTGCAAAAAAGCCAAGAAGGATAAAAGAGAAAAAATACCTTTAGATCAGGCCAACCCAGGATCATTGTCTTTGATAATAATTTGCCATGATTACTTTTTTTTTAAAAATACCTATGGTCCAAAATCTACAAAACAAAATGCGAATAAAGACTAAATAAATGACAGGATAAGATGAAATTGATGTTCTCTGGGGGAAGCGACAGAAAATGAGGACACAGTTCAGAGAAGTATAATTTAAGTAAGCAGTTTCTATGGCTGAAGAGCATAGCAAGCAGACATATGAAAGAAAGAAAGCAGACAGACCTCTTTTTTATGATACATATGAAGGACAATCTAAAATTCATTCTCTGTTTCATTTAAAAGTTGATTCACCATTATATAATTTAAGTAAATTAACTTTCCACTATGATACACTTAAGATTATGGAGATTTTTTAACACTAGGCCACAATTAAATGTTAGTAAGTAAGTAAATAAATAAATAAATAAATAAAAACAGTCCTCTTCTCTCATCCCTCATTAAATCTTGATTTTAAACGCAGCTAAATGAAGCACTGTCGACTTCACCACAAGATGGCGCCATTGTGCCCCTCACGGCCCATCCCACTTCACTTCCAAACATATTAGCAGTTTTAGTAAAGCTAGCCTTGATACTGCACGATACAGTTTCCTGTTCATGCCGAAAATATATTCTACAACGTGTAACAATGGATTACAAGCATTATCTCAAGCTTTATTAGAGACAGGTGGTACATTTTAAAATAGAAAATATATTGGAAAGCAGGTATTTCTTCAACGTAGCTTCCGGAATAAGAAGGCTGTTTCTGTTTTTTCACGTCTAATTGTGACTATATCAGAAACCAAACAGAGGTAAGATGTGTTGGAAACTTACCAGAATACACATTATGTGTATTTCCACGTAAACTTCTTAAAACCCAATAAAACAGGTTTAAAAACGCAACGAAACCACACAGATGCTTTTATTCTGACAGAGCGTCGGAGCGGAAGCCGCCTCGCTCCTCTCCGCAGCTTGACGCAGTTTGACTGGGTCACGCTGCAAGCCAGCCGGATGTTTTGCGTCGCCAGTATGTGATGGGAACATTTGCTCATTTTCTCCCAAAGCTGAATCGTGCGGCTCCGGCGGCGGCCCTGACCCGGTGAGTACCCGCACACAGCGTCCGCCGAGCGGCCCGGTTCGCCGGAGGAGCCGCAGGTTGGTGCGGGGTGGAAGCTGCAGGGAGGTCGTGACGGTGTTGGTTTGCAGTGACCGTGCACGCCCCTGCGCGCTCCCCCAACATCCATAATATAGTTTCTGTAGATTGCAGCTCCTTCAACAGGCGGAAGGCTGGGATGCTGCTTATCACCAGTGTGACTGGGAATACGTGTGGGAATGTTTTATTTGAAACGAGAGGAGGTGGAGTTTGTGTGCTGTGGAGTGAAGGAGGCCTGGAAAGCTTCCACTAGTTCTCTGATGGCTTCATGGTTGAGTCTGTCTGTCGTGTCTCCACCTGTCTGCTGTTCATCTGTATGTGCTCTCTGTGGCAGCTGTGTCTGTGGCACACAATGGTGGCTAGTGGCTCCCTGAGGATCAGAGCAGTAGCAGTCCCGGATTGGGTTCACAGCTTTTGATGGGCAGGGGGAGGTGGTGTGAGCACGAGCCCCAGCAGCTGTCTTTTATCTCATCCTCTCCTTCAACTTCTGTCCATCCTCTCCAGTTTTTTTTAACCCCCTCACTCAAGAGTCTGTGTTTCTTCTAGTTCCTACAGTGTGATGCTTGAATAATGTCTGTGCAGAGTTTGACACTCGAAGGATGTTTTCAGATTCATCTGCTGGAAGTGGAAAGTTTCTCTGTGCTCACTAAAAATCTGATTATTACTTATTACTTGTACAGTGTGATGTAGACACTTGAAGCCACCAGTGCACATACACTGAGAATGGACTTTACAGTGAAAGCAGGAGACAGAATTGAATGGAGAGTGACCTTTTATCTTTGTCAGTGAACTTTCTGACTGATAAACTGTGGGCTGTAAGTCAGATAAACGTTATCTGACTTTTTTCAGCCCTTGAAAGAAAAAAAGAACCCGCTGTAAAATGAAAGCGGCAGCCAGATATGTAAAGATACGGCTGAGCTGCAGCTCTCTTTGGCTCTCCACAATGTCTTCATCAGTTCAGTTTTTCCACATTTATGAATATTCATTTGACTGATACGTGCATGGAGCAGATGCACGGCGATATGTCTATATATATATAATATAATCTATACTGCCTGGTTTTGTTTTTTGGTGATTTCAATGCTTGGTGGAAATGCAAGGGGTCAGAGGACAGGTTGGAGAGGTCACGAGGGGAGCAGGTCTCCTTCTGTTGCCTGGACCTGGGTCCGATGGTCTATGCAAATCATTTTTAGTGTTTGTTTTAACCTTACCAGATGGGTTCTAATGCCAAAAAATGGACAAAATCAGTCATTCTTCAAGCAAAAAATAACAAATATTCCCTTGTTCCAACTTCTGAATTGTTAGTAATTATTAGTATTTCCTCATTCTTGTTGTTTTTAAGTGATAATAAAGTAAATATCTTATCTTTTCACAGTTTTCTGATGTTTTTCAGACCAAAGAGTGATCAAGATAACTAACTGATAATGGAAATAACTGTCAATAGCAACCCTAGAGCAGAATTCATTTCACGCTTCGGCTCAGCAGATAATCCCCTCTGTGTCTCTGCTGTTTCCTTTTGCTCTTTATATTGAGTTATTGAACTCTGAGGCGTGCGTTCAGCGTTATCTGTGTCCAGAGAGAAAAGTGATCATCCTGTTGCTGCTACAGTTGCTGGGAGCAGCACACACACACACACACACACACACACACACACACACCTGTTTGTTACGACAGATGGTCCACAGAGCGCTCCACTGTCTGTGTGTTTGGATACCATGCAGTTGGTCAGCTGTTGTATCGCCCCTAGTCACCCTTATCCGACTCGGCAAGCTGACTCAGAGCACATTCTTATTTAATCAGGCAGTTGTTTTCCTGTCGAGCCGGGGCGAGCTGAAAGAACACTTATTTTATTTGGCAGGTCGGCTGAGAACGCACACTGAAACGCACTGGCACCACGGGCTTCTTTTTGTTGCTTTTGATTGCACGCTAACCCCTCGCTGCCAAGATAAATTCTGCTGGATATTAAGCCTTATCTCTCTAAATTAATATTTCTGTTGGCAGACTGCTGTGTGTTCAAACTTAGAGCCTGGAGCACACTGTGGGAGCTGCAGTTAGGTTGCTCTGTAGCCACACTGTTACTTGGTTGATTCATTCATTTTTTTTTAAATTGTTGATTCATTCTTTAGTCTATAAGTTGCTCAATAAAAGCCCACAGAACCCAAAGTGACATCTTCAGATATTTACAGGATGTCTGCAGGGTTTAGCAAAGTCTGAAATCCAATATTTTAAATTTTATGCCCTAAAATGTGTCATTTTTCAGTCTCTTTTTTTATGTGTTCTTGGAAAAAAAATGTATTGATCATTCTGTAACAGCTACAAAATGGAACCAATAAACCAATATTGATTTTGCTTCATATCCTTTGTACTTTTTCTTGTTTTTTGCCTGTATGGACATAAAGTAGGTCTTAAATTGCTTCCATAATAGTCTAAAATCCTGAAAAACCCTGACTTAAATTAGAACTTATTATTATTCAATTAATATTCTGTCAATCGGTAGATCAATTAATGTGCAACTATTCTAATAATTTATTCTGATAACGATGATGATTTTTGGCACAAAAATGTCCTCATTATAGCTTCTCAAATGTAATGATTTGGTGCTATATATAACATATATGTTAGTAAGGGTGTTAAAAAAAAAACATTGATACATTTATATTTTGTTTTGTGATATTTTATCGATTCTCAAAAACACTACTGATTTTTGTCTTTAAACCCCAGGAACTGTGTATAAATACAAATTGTAGATCCCACTGTTCTGGTTGCATAAAAATGTGTACTTTTTTGTAATTGTATGCACATGGTGGTGTTCTTTATACTATGACAGTTTCCCTAAAATTAGATTGAAAAAAGTCGCAGTGCATCGCAAAATATTGAATCGTGAACCCTTATATATGCATCGTGTCGCCAAATTCTTGCCGTAAGAAACATAAGAAGATTTTTTGATGTAACTGTGTCATTGATAGTTTTGCCTTGTTGGCCTGAGTGTCTGCTGCTTACTTGTTGCACTTCTGTCCTCTACCCATATTGAACGTACAGTATTGCCCTAAAGTGGCGAGTGAAAGTCTGAACCATTTACCCAATAACTGCTTGTTGTGGAGTCATACTGGCCTTGTAGCGTGTGGAACTGTGCAATATGTATTTGCATCAATGGCAATAATAAACATAGATATATTATTAGATGTCATTTTCTTGGAATCATTCAAATTCTGTTATTTGCACACGGGCTCCATAATCACAAAAAAGACAGAAAGGCAAAGATTTGTGCTTCCGAGTCATCTGCCCTAAGTGTGCTGCAACAATGAGGAACACGTCCCCTCCTCACACTCATTGGGACATAAAACTTTTTGATGTCCCTCACCCCCCAGACTTGTCCTTTTTCCCTTTCAGCTCGGCCACACTCTCCTCTTTCCTCTTGCACTCTCTTAAAGGCCACGCTAGTCTTTCAGCCAGCCTTGGTCTTTTCTTTCTGTTTTAAACCCCCCCCCCACCCAGACAAAGAGAGGAGAGTGACTGTGGTGCTCTGTAGCCAGGTGTTCTCCATTGCTGCCCCGGGCCGTAATAGCACCAGCCCTCACACTGCAGCTGCCCTCCCCAGCCTCCCATTGTGTAACTCCATTGTTCAGCCGCCCACCCCTCGTTGATTCATCGGCCACACAGGGGAAGCCCTTTCAGACTGAGGAGAGGAGTGTGTGTGTGTGT